ACACTGCGTTATTAGTGATTGTGCTGCAGTAAGTGGGGTTTTCTGACTCTGAGCCAGTGGGGTGATTCAGATGGATTAAAAGGCTCAGTGAGGAGACTCGGGTTGAGCCTGGCACATGGGCTCATCAGCTCCTCGGGTGGTAGCTGCTACTGCTCCCGTGTTTAGGGTAGAGAAGGCTTTCTTGGCTAAGTGGGGAGCTGCTCTATTACCAATTGTTTGGAAGGTGCAGGAAAAGTATGCATGAAAAGCATCGAAGCACATAGTGGGGCTTGGGACGACCACATCCCTATTTCTCACCTTTCAGCATGGAGGCTAGCTCTGCGAAGCCCCTCTCATGATCTGACTGTGACTCTGACTTTGAACTGGCTGACTCACAGAGAGAGACCTTATTCGGAGTTTCAGAGACCATAACTCTTTATGGGACTAGACAGCCTCACTGCCCCCTCCCCGCCCCACATGGCTTGTGGGTTGGAACTACTGGCCCTGAGGTTAGCAGCCCAATGCCTAACCCACTTCACCACCAGGGCTCCTCCTAGCTCTGAAAGAGGAGCTTTACTCCATTTACTGTTTCTTCCAGATAATTTTGTGACTGCTCGATCTGATTCTCTGGGAAGATGAAAACTTCTTGCACATGTAAGAAAACAAGTCTTCACTCTTCACCCCAAATTAAAAATACCAAGTGGGGTACGAATAGGATTTATCTTCTCAACTCTTTTTCAAAGTATTGTGCATTTAGAGATTTTTATTCTCTTGGTTAGGATCTGCATTTTCCACCTCTTCTGGGTCATATTTTATAATGTAGTGAGAAAACATCACTCAAAATAAAATAATACTTGTGGTCCTGTAATAGGCTCTGACGAGTGGTGTTTCAGTGCTGGACGTCTTGACTTCCTTTGGAGCCGGAGACTCCTAGTCAATGCCACCACTTGATTATTAGGGCAGACTCGTGTGTTGCCATGATGTTGAACAGATTTTAGCCAGATGAAGATAGACTAGGAAGAAAGGCCTGGCCATCTACTTCCCAATGAGTCACAATGTTCTGATCCTGTTACGCATGAGGTTGTCGTGAGTTTGAAGCTGACTTGATGGTAGCCAGCAACAAAAACAGAAGTAGCAGCCGCGCAATGGGATTTGGAGATGGTTGGTTCTCTTCCATGCCCGCCTCATTAGCAGGTAAAGAGGACACGTAGGAGGCTTAGAGAAACACTTATAATTTATCCATCTGGTAGTTCTAAACACCAGTGAACACGTATGAATTGTGTAGAAACATATGTCCCAAGACTGGAGTTATAGGGTGTCCTACTGAGCAGAGGTGAAAATTAGACCAAGCCTTAGGACCCTTTCCTTGGCCCATAACAGAGAGATTCAGATGCTGAAAAGATAAAAGATTAGAACAGCCATGTGTTTGTCTGGGTAGACTAGAGAAACAAATCCGTAGAAACTCATATGTGTATAAGAGAGAGTTTTATATCAAAGGTTATTGTACATTAAGAAAGCATCCCAACCCAGTTCAGTCCAAGCCCCTAAGTCCGATATTAGCCCATATGTTCAACACCAATCTAGAAAGTCCTCTTCAGACTCACAAAACACATGCAATGATGCTGAATGCAGGACGATCACAGGCCAGTAGGTAGAAAGTCTTTGGATCCAATGGTGTTGTAAGCATCTTAGCGCTGGCAGGGGTCTCCACATGGCTTCTCTAGTTCCCAGGGCTCCATCAGGGTAGATCCATGTGGCTTTTCCTCAGGGATGCCTCGTAGGAAGTTAATCTTGTCAGTAGAGAGTCTCCAAGGGAATGAACTGAGAGAGAAGTCTTCTGCCTCCAATGAGGAAAATCCGGATTTCCCAGAATTCTCAGTAGAAGGCCATGCCTACACAGAGGCCTCATTGGCTATGATCCGATTGACAGACTAGACTCCACCCCTTCACTCTTAATCCTCAAATTGGCAAGCGATTATATAACTACCACAAGCCAGAGGAGGAGGATGAAGTAGGCGTGAGAGAATTGGTATAGGCAACTGTGAATTCCAAGCATACCCCTGAGTCCCTGGAATGAGCTGCAAAAACCTTGTGGTCACTCCCTGGAGAGGGAAATGAGGAGTGGGGCCATCCCTTGTTGATAGGCACCCAGAGATGGCAGGCACAGGGACCCTGCGGGATCCAGGGGCACCTGGTCTGACACCTGCACTGATGTTCTCTGGAGCTGGATGAAGTGCTGGGAGAATGAGTGGGCCTTTCCCCTTGCTGGCTCGCCCTCGGTGGGGGCTCCTGGCTGCCCCCAGACAAGCACTTGGCATTAATGAATTGGGCAGTGGGTGGTGCCACTTGGCCTTCTTGCCTGAGAGAGTGAAGTGGAGGAGCTCAGAGCAGCAGAGGAACCAGGGCAGAGGGGGTTAAGTTGAGCTCTGATGTTTCGCTGAAATCGCAGCTTCTCTCCACAGACCCTGCCACTCTCATTATCTCTGTCAATCAGATCCAAGCGGCAGAACTTCCGAGTTGCTCTCTCTGGCTGACAAACTCTCTGTACATGTTCAAAGACCTTCCTGGGCTCCGGAAGCCCAATTACCAGCACTCCAGCTTGCCTGAGCAATTCTTTTCCTTAAAGCCTTTCCATTGTCGCCTGTGAACTCCTTTACTGCCAGCACCTCAGTGGTTTCTGATGAGAGGGGCTGTGGCTGCAGCAGCTGGGAGCCCCTCCTGGCTCATTCCCAGGTGAGGCCCTAAGACACTTTCTGAATGGGCATGAAGCCTCCTCCCACCTCCACAGAGAGCTGGCCTACACTGGGGATGATGGTTAGAGGCTCTGTTTGGGAGCACTGCAACACAATTAGAATAAACTGCTACTTTGCAGATGTTCAAACATCAGCTCTCTGGGAAGCCTTCCCTTCCCTCCTGCACCCAGATGTCCCCGAAGCCCTGTGTCTATGCCGGTGAACTGCAAACCCCTCAAGGAGAGAAACAGCAAACACGATGCTTAGTCACAGTCAGGATGCGACGACTGTTTGTTGAATGAATGATTTGGGAATTCTGGAACTCTAATATCAGAAATTTTATTTGTTTTCAACATAGGCGAGTGATTTGCTGAGAACATGCTGAATGTCAAATCTTGCCTGTCAGACAATTTTCATAATCCATCCTCTGTGCGCTGAATTGTTCTTAATCGGATTACAATCCGGGGGCAGGACAAGAGGGGCCTGCTTCGTGCCTGGCTCCTATTCGGGCTCCTCTAACTGATGGCCCGGCAGAAGCAGGGTGCAGTTGATTTCATCAAAGCAGCCTCGGCGCCAATTCTGCCACTTATTGATTGGACACGCTACAGGAGCAGAGGCGAGGCATGGATAATCACATATAATAGAGGGCCCAGACGCCACACATAGCTGGCAGTGAGACCTGGTAAAGATGCACAATGCTGTCCTTTCGCTCATCCTGTACTGAGCCACCCTGCCCACCGAGCAGGGCACCACCCAGCTTGAACTCCCTCGTCTCACTGGGTCACGTCTCCCAAGGTCCTGGATCGTCCCCCTAAATCAGTCTTTTAAGTCACTGCCATGGCTCAAAACCTCTGGCTAGCGGGACTCCCAAGGGCAGATGACACAAGTTTATGAGTAGCTCAAGGCCCACCCAAGCATGTGCTGCTTTCGGTGCTGCTGGTTGCCCAGTGGTACTAGATTTGGACTTGGGATGGCCTGGGCTCCTCTGCCTTGTTTCTGCTAGCTGCCATCAAGTCAGCCTACAATTCATGGTGGCCCCATGCACAGTGCCTGGTCCCCACGATCAGTTGCAGACTAGACCGCTTTGTTCCATCAGGTTTTCATTGGTCTGTTTTTTGGAAGTAGGTCACCAGGCCTTTCTTTCCAGTTTGTTTTACCCCCTGAAAACCACTCAGCACCATAGCTGTACGCCTGTACGCCTCCACGGACAGACAGGTGGTAGCTAGGCAAACGCAAGGCTCCCTAGTGGAATGTGAGCACTGGAAGCACTTGTACTCCCTTCCTGGGTAAGCACTGGACTGCTAACTACAAGGTCAGAGGTTCAAAACCACCAGGTGTTCCTCAGGAGAAAGTTGAGGCTTTCTGCTCCTAATAGGATAGACAGCCTTGGAAATCCTATACGAGGCTGCTGTAAGTTGGAATGGACTTGATGGGAGGGGCGTGGGTATGGGGAGGAGAAGAGCAAGCAAAGGAACCCAGCATGCAGGGTTTGCAGACTTCCCTCTCATTCCACCTGGGGATAGGTATGCATAATAGACAAGTGAATGATCACAGGAGATGAGTTGAGAGTCAAAGGCAGGTGTAGCTTTGGATTGGGACTGCACTGAAGAAAATGATCCTCAAAGTGCTTACTCACTCTTTATTACTTATGGACCAAAAGCCCCCACTAGCAACTCCCTAAGATGTTACTCCTTCAGCCATCTCAAATGGCCCTCCCCTTCCTCACCCCTGTCCCTTATGCAAAGCAGATAGCCTGGAGAATGCTGATCATCCTCTCCAGGCCTGACTCCTTGGCCTTGGAAAGCTTGGGAACTTTTCTCAGCGCCCCCTTCCCTGACAGCTCACTGAAGGGTGGGCTCTCAGAGAAGAGGGCGTGGGGGCCATGGACATGCAGCGGCTCAGTACAGCAGCCATCTCCAAGTGAGAGCAAGACTGGAGCCCAGAGCTAACCCTCTGACCAGTGTTCTTCCTCTCCACCATGCATGTCGATAGGCCGGGGCCTCTGAAGCAGAGGAGAATTTCCAGTTCCCTTTTGGGTCGGATCTGCTATCATGATCCATGGCCCTCCAGCCCTCTATCTCTTGGGTTGGATTCTGTGTCCTGGGAACCTTTCGAGGTGATTGATGCTGTTACGTTTCCATGGTAAGCTCTCTAGGAAGTTGAAACCTCTGTGTAAACATCTGCAACCCTTGCTCTGAATGCCTCAAGTCCAAGTGAAGGGGCCCAAATAAGATGCCTGCGGTATCGCATGGATGGGAGCTGGTAACAACCAGCACCGCTGACACTCACATCTTGGTTGGACATATCCCAATAGGGTCTCTCTCCAAAAGACATGACTTCCCACATGACAATCCCATAGCTCCAGACGTCACTGGCCGAAGTGAACTTGCGGTAGGCGATGGCCTCTGGAGCCGTCCATCTCACGGGGATCTTCCCCCCCTAGAAGAAGAAGAAGAAGAAGAAAGCTGGTCAGCCCAACCACAGGGTTTCTAATTGAAGGCAGGTGAAAGGAAACTCAGCGTACACCTCCCCCGACCCTCCTCTGTGTCTCCTGAAACAGGGAAGCCAGTGTTACTGCACCTGCTGGAAGGCCTCAAGGAGGACCAGCATGGCTGTGCTGTCTATGGGCCGTCATGTGGACGCACATCCGCCAATGGCTGCTAAGTCGACTTATCTCCCTCCATTTTCCCACCGATGGAGTCGCATGGGGCTGGAGAGTGTAACTGTCATAAATGCACTAGAACACGACGTGCCATTTGCATGAGATGGACCACGTCGATCATGAAATGCAAGTTGTGATGGTAGTTGCGCTACAGCTATGTCTAAGTCCCAAACGGTCGCTCAGAAGAAGACAAAACAAAAGAGAAAGAAGCGTGGTGATCAATACCTTTTGGAGGAACCTCCCACTACCTGATCTCTCCAAGCCACGCCTCTTGCCCAACTCTCAGCACACTGTGCCCTTGGAGACGTCCCATGCTGGGTCCAGGCTGCTTGTCCAGCCTGCCCTCCAGTAGAGATGGAGACCCTGGGGCTGGAGATGCAATCTTCTAAGGGGCTGCCCTTGGGTTGTCTTTTCCTTCGTCTTGCCCTCCACCCTCCTACTGGAAGTTGGCTCTCTGCTTGACCCATCAGCTTGGTGGCCAGACCTTTGTCCATTTGGTTTTACTTAAGGGAGATATATTTGTCTACTTGCTCAGTCATTCACTCAGTCCACAAGTGAGCAACGAATCCTACTTTGTGCCAGACCCTTTATGATGAACTGTTATTTCTAGGATAAGCTAGTCATATTGCGCAGGGTAGTGGGGAAGCAGACAAGAAAACAAAAACTCAAAATATATTGTAAAATATTAATTATTAAAAAAGACCAGTGCTTTGAGAGTCATAGAAGACACCCACCCCACCCCCCACACACACCCAGGCAGAGTGAGGAGAGGCAGCCAGGATCAGTGACGGAAGCAGTCTCCTTTAGTGCTGGCTAGAACCTGGAGCCTCTGACTAGGTTTGGAGGCAAATGCTGACCCTTTCTATCTGCATGACCTGAGGCAGGTTACCTAACCTTTCTCTGTCTCGCTTTCTCGCCACCCACAGGAGGATAATCATGCCCCCCACATACCCAGTGTGTTGTGAGGATTCAATAGGGTAACAGTTATATGGTGCTTGGGACAGGGCCTGAAGCCAAAACTTCATATGGGTCAGCTATTTTTTTCACTATGCCTAGTTCTTAGGGACTAAGAAAGGATTTAAAGTTCAGGAAAGAAAGGGAAGACAAAAGTGGATGTCAGAAGAGACTCCAACTTACTCTTGAACTCAGAGTGGCTAACAGAAATGGAAGAAATGATGAATTAAAAAGCTGGACAGAAAATTTCAAAGGCAGGTTGAGAAGACAAAGTAAGCATGATACTATAAGGTGCAAAGACCTCGAGTTAGAAAACCAAAAGGGAAGAACTGGCTCCGTATAGCTCAAAGTGAAAGAACTAAAGAAAAATGCAAGCCTTGAGTTGCAAGATTGAAAGATTCTATGAGCAAAATAACTTCTTGCTAGAAAGGCGATTTTGCCCATCGAATCCTTCAGTATTGCCAAAATAGTCCCGAACATAAAATCAATACTGTGGATGTCGCAAGATCACACGGTGTTTCACTCTGTTCTGCTTAGGTGGCTAACTCAGAACCCATTCAATGGCACCTGTCGACAACATGGGCAAAACACTGAGCATGCCTCCAAGGAAGATGGGAGGAATACAGAGTTACTGTAGCAAAACAAGTTGGCAACATTCACCCCTCTCAAGAGGAGGCAAGGCACGAGCTCATGGTATTGAAGGAATTAAGTTCAAGCTGCACCGAGCACCTCAGTGAAAAGCAAGGCTTTAGGAGTTGACAGGTTACCAAGTAAGATCTTTCAAAAACCACCTGATGCAGCGCTGGGAGAACTCACTCATCTATGCCAAGAAACGTGGAAGCTTTTGAACGACCTTTGTTGGCTCCATGGATTGGAAGAGGTCCAGAGTTGTGCCCACTCCAAAGAAAGGTCATACGAGAGAAAGCAGAAATTATGGGACGATATCATTCATATGACTTTCAAGTAAATTTTTACACAAGACAATTTAAAATGGAGCTGCTTAAAATTCAAGCCAGATTCAGAAGAAGACATGGAACAAGGAATATCATTGCTGATGTTAAATGGGTTTGGGCTGAAAACAGAACATACCAGAAGGATGTTTGCTTGTGTTTTATGGACTGCACAGAGGCCTAGTGAAGACTAAACTATGGACGACAGTGGGCAGGGCAGGACCTGCAGAACACTTCATTGTGTTCATGCGAAACTTGCACACAGACCCAGAGGCAGTAGTTCAAACAGAACAAGGGGGGTAGTGCATGGTTTAAAATCAGGCACGGTGTGTGAGCCAGTGTTGTACCATACTTAATGTATCTGTACGCTGAGTAATCCTAGAAACTAGACCATATGAAGAAGAACATGGCATCAGAACTGAAGGAAGTTTCCTTAATGACCTGTGATGAGATGCCACAGCCTTGCTTGCTTGCCTACTGAGGAAGATCAAAGACTGTAGCCTTCAGGATGGATCACAACTCACTGTCAAGAACACGAAATATCTCAGACCTGGGCACCATCAAGATGAACCAGGAAAGGATTTCATTTTGCTTGGATCCACCCTCAACACCCATGGAAGCAGCAGTCAAGACATCACGTGATGTATTGCATCGAGCACATCTGCTGCAAATGACCTACTTAGAGTGTTAACAAGCACAGATGTTACACTGAGGACTAAGCTGCACCCTACTAAAGCCATGGTATTTCCGATCGTCTCAGACGCATGTGAACTATGGATCCATGGAAGACCACAGAAGGACTGATGTGTTTGAATGAAGGTATTGGCAAAGAAGATCGGAAGTGTCAAGAACTGCTAGAAAAGCAAGCAAATCTTTCTTGGCAGAAGTACAGTAGACCGAATGGCCAGAAGCAAGGGTGGCGAGGCTTTATCTCACACACTCTGGACATTTTATCAGGAGAGACTAGTGCCTGGGAAAGGGTCAGCAGAAAAGAGGAAGATTCTCATCAAAATGAAACATTAGGCTCCAACATAACAATGGGGTTGGTGCTAACAACAGCAAAGGTCAAGTACAAGTTAGGTAGCCAACCAGTCAGTCAAAAGGAGAGAAGTCCCTGGAAGATAGAATTCCAAAGGGGGGTGTGTTGAAGGGGAGGCAAGCAGTGAGCATGGTTTGTTGGGCATCGGTACTACTGAGAGGCATAGAGTAGGGCTGCTCACTAAGGCTGCCCTGCAAATCTCATCACTCTCTAGAACAAGAATAAATCTCATTTTCCATTCTTTAGGCCACATGCCACGATTTCACTCTGTGCCCTTTGGTAAGACCTGGCCCATGACTTCCTGGACCAGCTGGCCAGCAGGTGTGGCTGCCCGAGCAGCTCCCCTTAGGCTCTCCTCTCTGGTCTCTTGCCTCGGCTGGAGGAGACTATTTTTCAAAATGACCATCCTCATATCTGTTCAAACGCACCAGAGATATACATTGGACTTTAACAAAAATACCTTAAAATGCATAAGTGGTTCATGTGAACAAGAGAGTTTAAGAAAAAAAAAGGAGCAAATTGCAAAGTGTATTTTTATCTGGTTCCTACGCAGCGCCAGAGGAATAAGGCGAGCTGGCCTGGACCTCCCAGGCACATCTCCAGCGTTCTGCCAGGAAGACAGTTCTGATTTCCCCTGAGAACCCCGGCCGGCTTTTGTGGTGGGATATGTCCTCCTCTCAAATGCCAGCAACGTGACAAATGCCTGGCGGGCAAGCTTGGGCTGCAGCTGTAACGAGATGCTCACTTCTCACCCCCACCTCCGGAGACTGGGCTTCTCTACAGGGTACCCATTGCTGAGAAGACAGGTGAGCAATTTATTCAGGGACCCCGGGGTTACAAACACCCAGTGGGCATCGTTGCCATGAGGGGGAGAAGGGGGTGGTGGGCAAAGGTTGGGAGGTCCTAGGAGTTCTCCCAAAGGAGAGGGGGTTTTGTTGTTTCAAAATAGCTGAACAGAGATGGGAGAGAGAGCGAGACAGAGAGAGAGAGAGACTGGTGCCTATGTGCACGTATGACAGAGAGAAAGCAAGAGACAGAAAGGCAGACAGACTGAAATTCTGTGGAGAGTAAGACCGTAACAATAGGTGTGAGGGACCAAGAGACAGAGAACATTTGGCGGTGTGGGACTGCTTAAAAGAGAATGCGGGCTTCCATTTGTGTGCGCGTGAGTGCATGAGTGAGTGCGCGTTTCTAAGAGGGAGAGGCAGATGAAAGTGCTGTTCTTCTGAATTTCAAGGAGGGAATTTGGGAGTCTGAAGGTGTCCTCTGCCAAGTGTGAGTAGAGCCCTCGGGCTGCCGGTGACAGCTGTTGAACTGTTCCCTCTTGCATGCAAAGCGGTGGTGCCAGGCCCACTGGCGAGGTGCCGTGAACCTTCTGCCACCTTGTGCTGTTGGGCCTCACTGAGCACAGAGCCTGGCCCATCACCACCCACCTCTGTCTCAGCAGGGTGGCAAAGCCTTGGCGAAGAGCCATTTTGGACAGGCAGGTGACAGCTTGTCCAGGCCAGCCCTTTCCCCTCAGCCGAGGGAGCAGGAACACTGACCTCCGAGGCAGAACAAAAGGCAACACGCCACCAGGGGAGGTGAGGGTGGCACACTCCGTCCCTCCATCTTTTAAAACATCATCTCATCAGCGTGGCTTTCTGACGCTCGGAGGTAATTATAGTGATGATTATTTAACTTGTGTTCAATTATATGAAAGGAAATCTATTAATTTGGAGGATGGTGGCCATCCCCAGGGAAGGGATAGAGCACAAGGGAGAGGGATGATGTTGTAGACGCTAAGATTTGTGTTAGCAAGGGGGAAGCGCCTCCCATGGGGGCACTTAGTAAC